CATCATAATTATACTGCCTATGACTTGTTAGTGTTAGTCACTCTGGGTGTTAGCTTGAAAAAACCCACTGTAGGGTCAAACCTTTGCTGGATTCACTTTTTTCTTCACAATTGGATCACATTGTTGTTATTGGAATTTTCTAGGGAGCTGATTGGCCAGATTGGGAGTGAGGCTCCTTTTGCTGCCAAACAGGTATATATAAGTGAGAAGTATGGCTTGACAGCACAGTCTCACCACAGATCTTTAGAAGATGGTAGTGGAGCAAACAAGATTTATGTTCACTCTTCCTGCCCCCTCCCTCTTTATTGCATTGTTTTAATTTATTGTTGTGGTCTTGTTTGGGCTTATTTATCCCCTTCATTAGAGGGGATGAATATTTTATATTCAGATGATTTTTAATTGTCATTCTATCAATTTGCATTTATGTCAGACTCACTTTAATTAATGCTATTGATGTAAATAGTTTTAATGCAAAGCTAATTTTAAATATTTATGGTATTTTAAATACTTTTGAAATTATTTATTAAAGCCCAAATAAAGCGCCATGGCCTTACCCAGGTAAAAATAGACATGCACACCAGTCAATTATTTTCACATAATAAACACCAGTAGAAAAGTAACGGTGGTAAATATAGAATTAATAAAAAAAAAAAAAGAGTGATAAAATAATCAGTTTTACTATCATAAAAACTATTAAAGTGTTAAGGGCGTTTAGAAGACCAAATAAAATGGGATAAGTTTGATAGTAAGTTTGGTGTAGATTGGAAAACTAAACATATGGAAATAAATTTACATGTGAAGTGCCTATTACTGACTTGATGAAGATCTGTATAGTAATAAAATAAAATGTGAAACAATGTTTCTTTTTAAAGGGGAGACGGGCAGAAGAGGATATTATATGTTCTTTTCTGATTGAAACGCAGCAGCGTTGTACATGTAATGGGTTTACAATATAGGAATCTCATAATCAAATCACATTTTTCATTCAGCTATTCCCAGCTCTGAACAAATCCCTTCGCCCATCCAAGCTGATGAGGATATGTAAATTAATTTGAAAAAAAAAAGTCAAAAAAAATTCAGATTTCTTGATGCGCACTGAAGTGAGCGAAAGAGCTCATAACAGCAACAGACTGGAAATAAAATAACAAAAATGTAAAGTGTATTAAGGTTGAATTGAAGAAAAAAATCCTAAAGAAAAACGAAGATGACAATAAACCATTTGATCTTACCAATTCTTTTCATTTAGATTTTTACGTAAAACAAAGTTTTAATACGCATCTTCTCTAATGTAATCAGAAGCTGTTAGCGTTAGCTGATTGGATGACTAACAATTATAATTCTAATTTTTATTGTAATTATTTTGTGATCTTTAACTAGCAAGGTTCTTCATTACGCTGGGAACTGGAAAAAGAAAAAGGAATTGCAATTTTAAATTTTTTTTAAGTTTCTTGATGGAATCACAAAGAAACAAAAGCAAGCAATACACATAGGATACACATGGTATTTCAGTGGTATAGTATACTTACATTCATGCAAATCATAGCAAAAGGAAGGTGTTTCCTCTTCTTCTCTCTTTCCTTGAGCCCCTTCCTGAACTCGGACATGCTGGGTACGTCCGACAAAAATGTCTGTTAACGACCTCGGACGTACCCAGTACATCTGCAGCAAATCGGACCCCTAGACTTACCTGGACCGGCGAATCGCGACAATCCCAGTCGAGCGTGACTACTTGAGACGCCAGCAGTTCCCCTGCAACTGCTCCGTCCACGGCGGCCCTCCAGGGCCATGAAATCACCATGATCACATGGCCGCAATAGCAGTCTATGGAGCTGCCAGCAAGGGAACTGTCTGAGCTGTCCCCCAGCCTGCTAAAAAGTAGAACAATTTAAATAATAAAATAATAAAAGAAATATATTATACATATATTATATATGTGTAATATATTATAAAATAATTAAAGCATTTTATAAAATATTATGCATATATATGATTGCATTATAAGTGTACTTTGAGATATAAACACATATATCTCAAAATACACTTCTAATGCAATCATATATATGCATTATATATATATATATATATATATTATATTATAAAATGCTTTAATTATTTTATAATATATTATACATATATAGGAAATATAAGTGTGTGTGTGTTTGTATGTATATATATATATATATATATATATATATATATGAGTATATATATATATACATACCTACACATGTATTTTACACACACGTGTTATATGTATATGTCTGTGTATATATCCAAAAAATAAATAAATAAGCAAGGCACTCCTCCTTTACAATCCTATAGAAAATATGTAAATGTCTAGGTGCAATCCCGCGTTACATATATCAAAAAACAAAATAAAGGGAGCACACTAGGACTTCAGTATAGTGAGACAAAATTATTTACTGTATCAAAAATACATGAATCTGTGACAAGCACAAGAATAATCGACGTTTCGACCTGCCTGGGGTCTTTATCAAGATCACAGTGACACAAACACACTTTGGAGACTTGGCTGAACACAAATATGAGTTTTTCAAAACCTTAAAACTTATCATGACGATGATATCACCAGTAAAAGTGCAGTTTTTGTTTAAAAAAATGCAAAAAATAAATAAAAACGCTAATTTTAGCCAGCGTTCATGACTAAGTAGCTACTACAAAAGATTGGACATACCCCATTTTGAATACCCTGTATTGGCTACTTTTTCAAATGGTAGGTCATGGTGGGGTTAATTTTCATTTCTGGGCTGCCAAATCGTCTCAAAGGCAATATAGCCAATCTGACAAATAGCAATTTACAAAAATAGAAATAGACAAATCTTATGTTTGACCCTGTAACTTTCCAAATCACCATAAAACCTATACTTGAGGGGTACTGTTGTACTCGTGAGACATTACTCTACACAAACATGAGTGTTTTAGAGCAGTAACATGTATTATAATATCTGATATCATTGGTGAAATGACCGTTTATGTGTGAAAAATGCAAAAAAACTAATATAAACTCTAATTTTGGCCAGGGTTTGTGACTAAGTGGCTACTAAAAAAGACTGCACATACCCCATTTTGAATACCGTGGGTTGTCTACTTTTACAAATGGTATGCCATGATGGGGTTAATTTTCATTCCTGGGTTCCCATTAGGTTGTCTTCTTTTAAAAAATATATACATGTGAAGGGTTATACAGGGATTCCTGACAGATATCAGTGTTACAATGTAACTTGTGTTAATTTTGGAAAAGCAAAAAAACGGTTTGGAAATAGCAAAGTGATACTTGTACTTATAGCCCTATAACTTTACACATATTAACATTGTGCATTTCTAAACTCAGGACAAAATTTAGAAACTATTTAGCACTATTTAGCGAATGTTGTGCCCATTCACAAGAAAGGTAATAGGAGGAGTCAGGCAACTATAGGCCAGTAAGCCTTATTTCAGTAGTGGGGAAAGTGATGGAAACCATGTTAAAGGATAGGATTGTTGAACATCTAAAAACACATGGATTTCAAGATCAGAGACAACATGGGTTAACTTCAGGGAGATCATGCCAAACTAATCTTATTGATTTTTTTGATTGGGTAACTAAAATTATAGATCAGGGTGGTGCAGTAGACATTGCTTACCTAGATTTCAGTAAGGCTTTTGACACTGTTGCACATAGAAGGCTTATCAATAAACTGCAATCTTTAAGTTTGGATTCCAATATTGTTGAATGGGTAAGGCAGTGGCTGAGTGACAGGCAACAGAGGGTTGTAGTCAATGAAATATATTTGAAGCTTGGACTTGTCACCAGTGGGGTACCCCAGGGATCTGTACTTGGACCCATTCTCTTTAATATTTTTATTAGTGATATTGCAGAAGGTCTTGATGGTAAGGTATGTCTTTTTGCTGATGATACTAAGATATGTAACAGGGTTGATGTTCCAGGAGGGATAAGCCAAATGGCAAATGATTTAGGTAAACTAGAAAAATGGTCAGAGTTGTGGCAACTGACATTTAATGTGGATAAGTGCAAGATAATGCATCTTGGACGTAAAAACCCAAGGGCAGAGTACAGAATATTTGATAGAGTCCTAACCTCAACATATGAGGAAAGGGATTTAGGGGTGATTATTTCTGATGACTTAAAAGGTAGGCAGACAATGTAATAGAGCAGCAGGAAATGCTAGCAGAATGCTTGGTTGTATAGGGAGAGGTATTAGCAGTAGAAAGAGGGAAGTGTTCATGCCATTGTACAGAACACTGGTGAGACCTCACTTGGAGTATTGTACACAGTACTGGAGACCGTATCTTCAGAAGGATATTGATACCTTAGAGAGGGTTCAGAGAAGGGCTTCTAAACTGGTTCATGGATTGCGGGATAAAACTTACCAGGAAAGGTTAAAGGATCTTAACATGTATAGCTTGGAGGAAAAGACGAGACAGGGGGGATATGATAGAAACATTTAAATATATAAAGGGAATCAACACAGTAAAGGAGGAGACTATATTTAAAAGAAGAAAAACTACCACAACAAGAGGACATAGTCTTAAATTAGAGGGACAAAAGTTTACAAATAATATCAGGAAGTATTACTTTACTGAGAGGGTAGTGGATGCATGGAATAGCCTTCCAGCTGAAGTGGTAGAGGTTAACACAGTAAAGGAGTTTAAGCATGCGTGGGATAGGCATAAGGCTATCCTAACTATAAGATAAGGCTAGGGACTAATGAAAGTATTTAGAAAATTGGGCAGACTAGATGGGCCGAATGGTTCTTATCTGCCGTCACATTCTATGTTTCTAGCACAGGTGTTTTTTGGCGGTTGTAGATGCGTAACAGATTTTGGGGGTAAAAGTTAGAAAAAGTGTGTTTTTAAAAATGGTTTCATCATATTTTATAATTTTTTATAGTAAATTATATGATATGATGAAAATAACGGTAACTTTAGAAAGACCATTTAATGGCGAGAAAAACAGTATATAATATGTGTGGGTACAGTAAATGAGTAAGAGGAAAATTACAGCTAAACACAAACACCGCAGAAATGTAAAAAGAGCCCTGGTTCTTAACGGTAAGAAAATTGAAAAACGGTCTGGTCACTAAGGGGTTAAAGGAAACCTCCAAACACCATAACCACTACCACCATACGGGGTATGGTGTCAGGATTGCTTTACTCCATTGTAAGTAGGCAAACTGCTTTAAAACGGTTTGACTACTTATCTTGTTGCTGTTCTTTGCCTACACTAGTTCTGACAGAGAGCGGAAGTCTGTTAGGAGCTTATGTTAGAAGTGCAGGCTAAGCACACTGGCTGTGCACGCCAGATGATTCCTACCAGCCAGTGAACTAAGCCATTCACTGGCAGCAGGGCCGGATTAAGAGCACATTGGGCCTGGTGCTGACAAATATGATGGGCCTAATTACGGAATCTTATCGACCAAAAACACAAAAACAGTCCTACCTCCCAAGCGTCATGTATCTGATGGAGATGGTGCTGGAGGGAAGCTCATAGGATGCAGCTATAAGAAAACACATACTCTATGCTAATCTCTCTCTAATTTATGCTTTCATCTTTCAAGTAAATCCATAACCCCTAACAGCAGTGTCCAGTGAAGCAGGAAGTCAATGTGCAGGGTAAAAGAGTGTGCCACTGGTGTGAATCACGTGACCAGGCCTGCCAAAAGGGGAGAACATGCCCAAAGAATTTGAAGGACAGCCTGGCATGAATGCATGTCAGGCTGCCTGCCAATCCTGCAGGCTGTCCAACTAAGGGCATACTATGAAGGCAGCACCATGAGCTTGACATAAATGCATCTAATGATGCGCTCACTCCATGCTTTCTAAGGACTGTCCCCTAGCACTCGCTGGTCCACTTGTCTCCTTGCCTTCTTACTAGCAGGCAGAAGTTCCTGGTATAGTCTGAGACAGAGAAAAGGTGTATGTAGTGAGTGTAGAAGAAAGGGGACATGCCACAATGTTAGAGATACCAGCGTCTGCATTACCTAAACTAATTTTATTGTCAGCTAGTCCACGCAAGTTTTGTTCCCATACTTCCAAACTTAAAGGGACACTATAGTCACCAGAACAACTACAGCTTATTGTATTTGTTCTGGTAAGTAGAATCATTCCATTCAGGCCTTTTGCAGTAAACACTGTCTTTTCAGAGAAAATAACTCCACTGGCCACTCCTTAGATGGCTGCTAGAGGTGCTTCCTAGGGCAGTACTGCCTATTGTGCAGCACTGCCATTCAGTGTCTCCACCCTCTGCATGCAGACACTGAACTTTCCTCATAGAGATTCATTGATTCAATGTATCTTTATGAGGAGATGCTGATTGGCCAGGGCTATGTTGGACTTGTGCTGGCTCTGCCCCTGATTTGCCTAGTTGACAGTCTCAGCCAATCCTATGGGGAAGTATTGTAATTTGCTCAGACCACCACTTCTGATGATGTCAGCAGACAGTCAATTCAGAGGCAGAGCCAGCAGCTGCAGACTTGAATACAAGTTGTATTTTACTATACTTAGGGAGGCAAGAAGGGGCCAGGGTGGTGGTTTTAACATAATAGGGTCAGATATACATGATTGTGTTCCTGAGCCTATAGTGCTCCTTTAAGCAAGAGTATGTGAAGAGTAGTTAGGGTTGCCACCTTTCTTGGAAAAAAATACCAGCCTTAATCATTTGTATGATCACAAGAAGTGACATCAGAGAAAATTCTGTAAAATCACCAACAAACTACTCACAGTTTGATTCTGCTGTATAGATGGATTGCTCCCAGTGTCTCAGTCTCGCAAGTCACCCAGTGTCTCAGTGTCCCTATGTATCACAGTGTCAGTGTCCCCATGTTGCCCAGTGTCCCAATGTCTCAGTATGTCCCCATGTCACTAGGATACTGGGGACACAGTGAGACATAGGGACACAAGGACATGGGGACACAGAGACCCGGGGACACTGGGAGACATGGGGACACTGAGTCATTTAGGGAAACTGGGAGAAATGGGGACACTGAGACACTAGGGACACAGACAATGGGAGACATGGGGACACTGAAACATTTGGGGACACTAAGACAATAGGGACACAGAGACATGGGAACACAGACACTGGGAGACTAGGGGACACTGGGAGACATGGGGACACTGGCTGGGAGACAGACACTTGGGACTTGGGGACACTGGGAAACATGGGGACAGTTGTGGACATAGACATGGGGACACTGGGACATATAGGGACACTGGGAGACATGGGGACACTAGGCACACTGAGACACTAGGAACACAGACATTGGGAGACATGGGGACACTGAACAATTTGGGGACACTAAGACACTAGGGACACAGAGACATGGGGACACTGGGAGACTATGGGACACAGACACTGGGAGACTTGGGGACAGTTGTGGACATAGACATGGGGACACTGGGACATATAGGGACACTGGGACACATGGGGACACTAGGCACACTGAGAGACATGGGACACAGACACTGGGAGAATTGGGGACACTGAGGCACTAGCGACACTGGATGGGGTATATGGGGACGCTGGGAGAAACGGGGACATAGAAATGTCCCAATGTCTCAGTGTCTCCCAATGTCCCTATGTCTCACAGCATCCCCATGCGTCTCAGTATCCCCTAGTGTCTCAGTGTCCCCAAGTGTCTCAGTGTCTCCCAACCAATGTCCCTATGTCTCACAGCATCCCCATGTGTCTCGGCATCCCCATGTGTCCCAGTGTCCCCAAGTGTCTCAGTGTTTCCAGGTCTCCCAGTGTCCATGTCCCCATGTGTCCCAGTGTCTCAGTGTCCCCTAGTGTCTGTGTCCCCATGTGTCTCCTAGTGTCTCAGTGTCCATATATGTGTCCCCTAGTGTCTCAGTGTCACCATGTGTCCCTGCTTCCTTTCCCCCCATCCTTCACTTACCTGAGCTGTAGAGCTGGCTGTCTGGACTCTGTGCTGTGTTGCTGCTCCCCCACGGATCAGTAAGTAGTAGAGAGAGGCAGGGATATGCTGTAACTTCCTATCCCTGCCTCTCTCCAAACACAGTGACCCCTACTGGCTGGTGCTGGTATTGCAGTGTAATCTCCATTTATTCTTAGAAAAATACCTGCATTTGTATTGACGGTATTACTGCAATACCGGCATGACCAGGCAGCTTTAAATACCGGCTGTGCCAGTAAAATACCAGTCAGGTGGCAAACCTAAGAGAAAAAAAAATTTTTAAATGGGCCTATATTCCATGGGTTCGGGCCCGGAGCCGCAGCCCATCAGCCCCTATGTTAATCCGGCCCTGCACTGGCAGGCTTAGCTCAGACAGAGAGTTTCTGGTTCTCTGTTGGTATTAGAGGAAGCAAGGAGTGGTGCCCGACAGACCCCAGATGAGAATTCAATCAATTGTAAAACAGCTTGATTACTTTTGAGAGGGGGTTGCCAGGTCTTTTCTAGCGCCATAACCACTACAGCAAGCTCAAGTGGCTATGTTACATGGAGTTTTCACATAAAGGAAATGCAGCAATAATTTATCATGGAATACCAGATATTTCCATAGATGGTGTTAAAGTTCTGGTATAATAATGACTAGATTTGATAAAGTCTGCTTTTCTATACAAAAGTGTGATTCCACCTGTTGCTATAATATCTGCTGTATAATGCATAATAATACAATAGTTGGAGATGACAGTTTTTCTTCTTCTTCTTCTTTTTTTCTGGTGAAACCCAAAAGTATAACAGGGAGATTCCATACATAAGGAATCCAAAAAAGAGAAACTTTGAGTTGTCTTACTGTCCAAATATTTCATTGAATGTGTAATTGACCTGCTTTTAATTTCATGTGTATCATGTGTATCATGATGGGTTTCTTTCTAGATTAAGTACAGAATTACTTATATTTCACTTAGAAGACATATAATGACACAGTTAGAGTTAGGATTCTCATTTTGATAGTTACCTAATGGCTCCTTAATAAAATTGGCCTATGCCAACAACAACCTCCAAACCCCTGTTTAAAACATTTCAGAATTTGTTTTGTTTTCCATTAGTTCAGAACTTCCTCAATAAGAAAAGCATTTTGAAGACTTTAGTTTTTGACAAGGTGTTCACCTGAGCACAAAATGTATATAAGATGTTTACTTTCCATTTGTTCAATTAACTTGTGGACCTACTTTGGAGACTGTGCAATATATTTCTCCTGCATTGTCATTATCCATATTGATATTCACACGACTAATAAATATGCCAATGTTTATTGACAAGTTGCAGGTAAACTTGGACCAAAGGAGCTTTGAAGATCTGTACATTTAATCCTCTATGCTCTCTGCTTGGAAAGTGAAACCGATTTCAACCTTTTGGACAATGAATGAACTGACCTACCTGCTGCAAGGAGAAAAGAAGAAGTTGTACCAGGATACATTACTTTCTAGTCAAAAATAAGAGGAGCCACATCTAGTGACTGGGAGTGTAGTGAGGCTCTGAAGAGATAATTTCAAATCGATATGACCATGATGTAAGATACTGCCTTCCGCCTTCCCTAGCAGCACACATTCTAATAGAGAACAATCCAGTCAGT